CAAGTACCTCTTCCATTACTAGCAAAGCAATCAAGTCCAGCTCTTGTTAGTTATTAGCACTCTCCATGAACCCTTGATTAAACTATTCTTCCCTCACCTGTCCATTGGCAAAAATACATATACCCCTAATTTCTATCTTGTATGTTACCTTGCTCCATGTAATTCCATTTAATCTCGTACAGTTAAACTGGGCAGATCATTTTGGCAAATCCACACTGAGTACATGATCCTACGAAGATCTGTGCTTTTCATCAGCATAACTAAGATTAGGATCTGAAAGTAGCAGTAGGAGATGCTAGTGAGAGTGCACATGCTTTCAGGGCCATTCTTGTGGTTCTAAATAGTAAGATGACTTTTAACCAGACAGGAAATTTGAAAGTATAAAAATGGGCTGTAAATAAATCCACACTTTCCTAGAAACAGACCTATTTTGGTCTGTTCTGCTTCGGGATTCTTATATATATAACTCTGTATCCAAGATCTAGTTATTCCTTTTTATTTTAATGATCCTCCTCCGCTTCTCTAATACTTCCTGCTTGCTCTTTTTTTAAAAAATAAATTTTAAAATTTATTTATTTTTGGCTGCGTTGGGTCGCCGCTGCTGCATGCAGGCACTTTACAGCCGCGGCAAGCGGGGGCCAGCCCTCGCCGCGGCACGTGGGCCCCTCACCACAGTGGCCTCTCCCACCGCAGAGCACAGGCTCCAGGCATGCGAGCCTCAGTAGCCGTGGCCCACAGGCTCAGCATTTGTGGCCTAAGGGCTCTAGAGCACAGGCCCAGCAGTTGTGGCACACGGGTCCAGTCCGGTCGCTTCGCAGCGTGTGGGATCCTCCCAGACCAGGGATCGAACCTGCGTTCTCTGCACTGGCAGGCAGACTTCCAACCACCGCACCACCAGGGAAGCCCCCCTGCTTGCTCTTGAGTAAAATAAACTACTGATTCCTTGGCCTCTGTCTAGATCACCTAGCTTCTAGATTTTTGGTTAAATAATGACATCTGCCTAGTTCTTTCCCCATCGTGACTCCCCCTTGATCATCCCTTTCCCATATCAACTTTTATATCCATGTCTTGACTGTTTCCTCTACCACTTGTTTTTAAATTATTGACAACTCTCTGGAGTATATTCGAAACCAACGTGTTTTTTAAGGTTGGCTTTTATTAGTTTGCTTTTTTACTTTACATTTAAGGATTAGAAGTGAGAGTAGTTTAGGAGATACAGTTCAAGATAAGTACTAAAGCCATATTAAAGAAATAAAATAAGTTTGTCCATTCACTTTTCTCTTCGACTAAGACTATGGTGGGAATTTTTTTTCCACAGAAGGCTACACTTAAGTAAAAATTCACCTAATTTAGATATTTTTAAAAGGTAGTTAATACATCAAAAATTGTCACTTTTTTGGGCCGTGCCACGCACCTTGTAGGATCTTAGTTCCCCGACCAGGGATCAAACCCATGGCCCCTGCAATGGAAGCGTGGAGTACTAACCAATGGACCACCAGGGAATTTCCAAATTGTCACTTTCTTTTAAAAAAATTTTTTAGAGGCGGGAAGGGGAAAGAAATGTGGTAACAGAAAAGTGATTCCAACAGTACAGGCAGAGAGATCCAGCTTTCCCTTTTAAATAAGAGGCAGGAAAAGAAGATAGATAAAGAAACCCAGATAGATTTAGGGGCTGTTCACGTGCCCTGCATTATACTAAGCATTTTACGTTCATTATCTCATTTAATTTTCACAACTTCCCACTTTACATCTGAGAGAACAGGCTTAAAGCCCTGAGTAACTTGCTCAAGACCACACAGCTTGTAAACAGCTCCAGTCTGACTTTTAACTTCACACTCTCAACAGCTCTGCCTCTCTGGGTGGGTAAGAAAGTTACTTGTAGGTGAGATTGATGTTTGTTAAGTAGGAGTAAAGTTCATCTTTCAATTTATAAATTCCTTAGAAATCCTCTCATCTCACTGATTCTATATCACTTTATAAGAAAAGAAAACTAAGGTCCAAAGACTTTAAATAATTCAAATCCAAGCTAGTTAACCAGAAATATTCAGGCAGTGCTTTCCTCTGTATTTTAAAGGCTGGAATTACTTAATTTTTGTATTACATTATCAGGTTTTCTTCTATTTTACCAATTTACAAAATGTGATAGTATTATGTATATTGTTAATAAAAGTAACGTATATACTCTATATAGAATTATCAGAGTATTTTAGATAGAACAGGTTTTCGTTCAGTCTTCTTTTGTGATTTAATTGCCCATTTTTAAAAAAATTTTAAAAATTATCTAATGTCAGTTGTTTTTATGTAATAATAAACATACATTTTATACATTAATAAACAAAATTTAATTTAATATATGCATTCTGTATTTTTTTGTGAAATTAATATTTTAGAGACTGGTGAGTCAGATTAGGCAGAAGATTTAAGGCTTAGAAAAGAAAGCTTTGGCTAGATAATATTAACAAAAGTGCTGGGATACAAAGCAAGAAATATTCTAATATTATTATTATTTTTTTTTTTTTTTCTTTTGTTGCGGTACGTGGGCCTCTCACTGTTGTGGCCTCTCCAGTTGCGGAGCACAGGCTCCGGACGCGCAGGCTCCGGACGCGCAGGCTCAGCGGCCATGGCTCACGCGCCCAGCCACTCCGCGGCATGTGGGATCTTCCCGGACTCGGGCACGAACCCATGTCCCCTGCATCGGCAGGCGGACTCTCAACCACTGCACCACCAGGGAAGCCCCCAAGAAATATTCTTGATGGTGATTTAATTGTAGACTCTCAGGAACAAATGGGCCTAAAGTATTCAGTACTATACTGACACATGCTTTGTTATTTTAAGTAATAACCAGCATTGTTGACAGTGGGCCAGTTACAGACTTTTTTTGATAAATGTCAAGATCTAAAAGAGGAAGAAATTGAGGCTGATGGTCCATGAGAAGACAGGTCACCTATACCAAGAAATGGATACTTTTAGTTAAAACTTTTAAATATTCATGTGCTATGGATGATAGTAGCTTTCAATAGAAACGCTCCCAGAATTTACCTATCCTAAAGTGTCATTTGGAGGAAAATTATTGATATAAGATTATAGTTCCTTCCCAACAAACAACCAATCTAATATATGATCTAAACAAAATAAACTGTAAAACTTATATAATATGTTGAAATGCATTGTGATAAGTATAAAGAGAAGGGTCAGATCTATTCAGTGGAAAATTAGTTTTTCTCTTAAATTATCCCAGAACAAGGTAGACCCTAACTGGGTATTAAAAATACGTTAAGGGGCCTCCCTGGTGGTGCAGTGGTTGAGAGTCCGCCTGCCGATGCAGGGGACACGGGTTCGTGCCCCGGTCCGGGAGGATCCCACATGCCACACAGCGGCTGGGCCCGTGAGCCATGGCCGCTGAGCCTGCACGTCCGGAGCCTGTGCTCCACAACGGGAGAGGCCACAATGGTGAGAGGCCTGCGTACCGCAAAAAAAAAAAAAAAAAAAAAAAAAATGTTAGGTAATGACACTGCATGGGTGAATAAAACATGACTCTGGTCCTCAAAGAGCTTAAAATGTATTAAGAGAGATGATTAAGTAAACAGACAACTGCAATTCAATGTATAAAGTGCTATAATACTGTTAAGTCCAGGATTCTATGAAGTCACATAAAAGGGGCACTAATACCAGAGTAAGGTGGGATCATTACTACCCATGATATGAATCCTTAAGCACTTAGCATAGTGCTAAGCATATGGTAGGCATTCAATATTTGATAAATTGGAACATACCTGATTTAGAAAACAAAACAAAACATGAGCCTGGACTTAATTTTTTCTTAAAACAATGTCTTTAAACTTTATACCAAAATGTGTTTTTTATGAATCCTTTTCATGTTGCAATAGTAATTTCAGTGACCTTGTAAATTAACCAGTACCTACAGCTGATTCTTGAATGTAACTGCTACTAGACAACAGGAAAGACTTTGTACTTCAGGAGGAGCTGTGTCCCATAGTGCTGGACACATAGTAAATGTTCAAAAATAACAACTACTTAGTTTTTTTTAAAGCTTCAGAATTTATTCAGTAATTCTCTATCCTCACCACCAAATTCTTTAAAGGAATTTCTTATTGTTAATTATTAAGATTGTGTATAAGTGAGAACTTGAAAAGTACGATTCTTGTGCAATAATAAACACTATATTAACCAGTGGGAACTCTGAACAAGTAAATGAAAGTCTTGTCCTTGGCAAATCTGAAATAAAAATGGCTTACAAATGTTATATGGTATACTAGGGACACTTTACATATGATTGGAGTTAAAACTAATGCATATGAGCAATTAGAGATCAATGCTAAATTCTATGGTAATGACTGTAAATACATTATGACTTCATTGATTAATTCAATAAATATTAGGCTTCAACTTTATGATACAGCCTACACTAGGCCCAGAGATAGATTAAAAAATACAGTCTGGGGAACGAGGAAGAAAACATAATCATTGTACAGTGTGATTTAATGCTACTATAGAAAAAGTACAAAGTACTGTTGGTGTATAAATTAAGAGCAGCTAATGGTGCAGAGAAGGAAAAATTGGTATGAAATGGATTAGTCATATGTGCTTAATTTTTTTAAAAAACAGGCAATATATAATTTTATTGTGACTATATGTTATTTGTTATCTGATGTATTTTTTAGGAACTTGTATAGTATTTTTCTATTTTGTGAAATGAGCTTAAAAAACCCCAAGGGCTATTTATAAGTTATGAATTAGTTGAACATGCCAAGAACTCCTATTTCTCATCATACTGTAGTGTACCTTTTATAAACTATATTCAAAGCCAAGTGGATATAATTCAGTGAGCAAATAAGATATCTACTTGGTCAACTATTTAGTATGTTGTGCAGATCTAACTAGTAGGAATAATTATATGTTTTAAAAAGATTGTACAGTTTCTCTTAAATATTAACTAGCTTTGATCAACTTAACAGTCCTTTTTCTTATTTCTTATTAAGGGTCTGCTGTATTTGTTGGTAACAGACCAGGGGTTTCTCACTGAAGAAAAAGTTGTTTGGGAAAGCCTACACAATGTCGATGGTGATGGAAATTTCTGTGACTCAGAATTTCATCTGCGGCCTCCTTCTGATCCTGAAACTGTATACAGAGGACAACAAGATCAGATAGATCAGGTAAATTTGTTGTTGTATCTTCTTCATATTGTTTAAAGTGCTCATTCCTTTCAAATGTGAATTTAGTTATCCAAATTTTTGAACTAAAGATTTGTTCATTAATATACTTGTGAAATTTTCCCGACACTTCCTAAATAGGTAAGTGATTATTCTACATGTACATTAATTGTACACTTTGGTTCAGAAGGCCAGATTATATTGAACTGTGAAGGTCATGGTAAAGAGTTTAAATTTTACTCTAATTGTAGTAGGGAAGGTATGCGAAGTATTAAACATGGAAGTGACATGATCTACTTTACCTTTTTTTTAAATTGAGGTAACATTAGTTTATAACATTATGTTTCATGTGTATAACAGTACGTTTCTACTTCTGTAAAAAAATATGGAATGCTTCACAAATTTGAGTGTCATCCTTGCATAGGAGCCATGCTAATCTTCTCTGTATCGTTCCAATTTTAGTATTAATGCTGCTGAAGCGAGCACTACTTTACCTTTTTAAAAACCTGCTATGTGGCAAATGCATAGGAAGGACACAGTTGTAAGCAGACTAGCAGTCCAAGCAAGAGGTGATGATGGCTTAGCCTTGGTGGTAGAGATGAAGAGACAAGTACATATTTGAGATCTATTTTGGTTAGTCAGAAAAAGTAGAAAAGAGGGAATCTTGAAGATAGCATACACTGGATAAAGAGTAGGGGGGTGTTCTGAGCCTTAGAGTCCAAGGTAAGGAGGAACAGACACTTACAGCAGGAGCTGCACTATTGAGCAGAATTCTTATTTGGAACTGAGACAGATGAGATTTTTGCCTGCTATTGGTTGGTAGGCTTAAAGCCACAAGTGTGTTTATTACTAGAAGTATAACAGTGATGTGACATTTTCCTCAACTGAGGCAGAAATATGTTTATGTTAAACATTTGGCACATGTTTCGCTGATAACAATTTAAGTGCATAGAGACTGTGTTCATTTAACCATTATTCATTGAGCAGTTGTATTGAGCACTATAACTGCATCCTGGGGACACAAAGATAAATCATTCAGTCCTGTCCTGAAAGATTCTGCAGTCTAGTTGGGGAGGCAGGTATTTGACCAACTAATGTTATATGTTAAGTTCTATAATGGTAATTTGAATAGCAAGCTATGAATGGATGAAAGAATACTTGATTCAAACAAATACTGATCTTTCTAAGACTCTTGGCCCTCCTTTGACAAAAGCCATAATAATCAACATACTCATTTTCCTTCAGAAGATATACAGGAGCATGGTTTTTTAAGTGTTACTTAAGAGAAATATACAGGATTTTTCTAACTACTGTGTGTAAAAAATATTGGCACAGGAATGAAGTAAAGCAATAGATTGCCACAGTAACCTAGTTGTAAGGTGTTGAGAATACATGTATGATATTGTCTTTAAAAGTAACAATGAAGGGACTTAGCAAAGAGCAGAGTTTGAAGAATTGAGGAGAAAACTTTGAAGGACAAATTCTTGATGTCAGTAAGATAATCATGCTAGATAGTACAAGGTCTTCACAGGCAACAACCTTTTACATATCCTCTGTGGTTATTTAAAATTCTCTTATTTTGAGGGTAGACTGGGGGAGGTGCACAAGAGTAGTCAAGTTTCATTCAGCACTAATTCTTAATAAAAGTGGATGTTTTGTTAGATAATATAACTTTTGACCAAAGATGCATCACTTTCTCTCATAGGAAATAATCTGGGTGTGTGTGTGGGAGGAGAAAGGCATAGTTAAGTAACTGAATATGATTGTATGATGGACAGCTATGTTGGCTTTAAAAATCATCTTTTGGAAGAATATTTAATAAATAATCTTGGGAAGTTCTTACAACCTTTTTTTAAACAGAAGACTTTTATAACCTTAGATGGAAAAGAAAGCAGATTATGATAGTTTCAGGGGTTGGGAGATGTGTTTGTGTTTGTATGTGAATATAGAAAAAAATGATTAATATATAACAATTATATATTGTTAACAGTAGTTGGCTCTGTGTAATGATATTATGGTAATCTTAACTTTCTTATTTATGCTTTTTTACTTTGTAACAATTTTCTACAGACATGTGGTTTTTTCTTTAAGCTTTTCCGAATGCCTTATATACTGCTTCTAGAAAGAATTTCAAATGAATATTTTAAATATTTATAACAATGGCAACATCACTGAAATAATTTCATACCTCCCAAACAAATATATAGAAAACTTCTATTTTTACATTTACCCTCTGGTATGTTTTTTAAAAGCCACTCTGATAGGTTTGTAGATATAACCCCTATATTCACACACGTTAGTTCTTGGATAAAATCTAATAGCTAACAACAGTTATCATTTAATTTCTTAGGACTATCTTATGGCATTATCTCTACAACAAGAACAGCAGAGCCAAGAGATCAACTGGGAACAAATACCTGAAGGAATCAGTGATTTGGAACTAGCAAAGAAACTCCAAGAAGAGGAGGATAGACGAGCTTCTCAATATTACCAGGAACAGGAACAAGCAGCAGCAGCTGCTGCTTCTGCTTCTACACAGGCCCAGGTAAAAACTAGTGTTCTGATTCTTAAATATAATGATCACTTTAGCAATAAAGAAATTTGTGCTGAGATAAAAACTTTTAAGTTAGGTATTGACTCTGTTAGCATTTTTAGCATCCATGGATTTTATGACATTGTCCTAAGTTTGTGATTATCTTAATATATTTCTAATTTAGTTAATTTTACTTTTTCTGAGGTTCTGATGGGAAGATTTTCCAAATTTATTAAGTTCTTAATAGCTTCAAACAATATAAACCAATTTGAACAAATCTTTCCTATCAATTAGAAGGCAGTATGAGGTACTGCTGGAAAGAATGTAGACTTTGGAGCCAGACAAATGTGGATTTGCATTTTCTGCTTCTGTCTCCCCTTACTAGGTGCAACATGGACAAAGTCCTCTACGTCTCTTAGCTTCATTTTCCCTATCTGGAAAAAAGAAGATTAATACTTAACCCTTAGGTTTGTGGTTAAGAATAAATAATGTTAGCATTTAATCCAATGTTTGACATGTGCTAAGTATTCAACAAAGGTTAGCACCTTTCCACTTTCCCCAGCTAAATGTTTTAAGCACTGAAAATGTAACTAAGGGGGTTTCTATTTCTTAAATCTCATTTCATTAAATGAAAAAAATATTCCCCTTCTTTTATGTTTGTACCATGCTAGAACTATTCCTTTGATTTGGGTATTCAAGAAAGCTTGATGCCCTTTAAGATCTGATGAAACTTTAAATATAGAGGTCTCTATTAAAATAGGTATAACATTTCTATTTCTAGAAATATTGACTACTCCAAGCTTAAAATTTAAAACCTACCATGTTATGATTAGCTTTTCACTAAAAAAGTTCTCTCATTGCACAGAATACACATTTCACACTCTGAGTCCTCAGGGGTTTTTTGCCCTCCTTTTAAAATCTGTTTATTATAGTATTTAATGAGATCTTGGAAAACTATTGTAGCTTGCCAAAAGGTGTCACTTTCTTTAACATTTCCTAAACTTTAACATAAGTTATCTTGAATTTGAGTCTTCAGGCAATATAATGCTATATGTTATTTATTGTTTGAAGTTCCATTTACTTAGAATAATGGATACATTAATTATATCTATTCTGAATGATAGAGGCAGTTATTCAGATACCATATCACATAACAAGTCTATACACCAATAGCCTTTTTCCATTAATAATTCATTTCACTCCTGTAGTTTTTCTTTCTAGATAACTATGCTTAAGCATCTTGGAAAAATTGTGGTAATTTTTTCCTGTTTATTTTTCTTAAAGCAAAGCCAGCCAGCACAAGCCTCTCCATCGAGTGGCAGACAATCTGGGAATAGTGAACGTAAACGAAAGGAACCTCGAGAAAAAGATAAAGAAAAAGAAAAGGAAAAAAATAGCTGTGTCATTTTGTAACAAGTGTGGGTCATGTTGGAACCATCTGTATGTCTTCAGAAACAAAACCATAGGAGGAAAGGAAGAAAAACCGATAAATACCGTCTGTGCCTGATTTCCCAATGGATTTTGTTCATGTTTTTCAGGGGGAAAGGTTGTTACTTAGTTACAATCAGACTTTTTCAAGTCACACAGTACACTCTTTATGAGCTGGAGTTTCATGTTACAAGTTGAAAATGCTGTGTGTTGTCATTCATGAAAAATAATGCACTTGTAGCCAAATAAGCAAATCACAGCAAATTTGTGTCATAGTGACATTCATAACTCATATCAGTTAGTAAGCTATTTCATCTTCTATTCTAACAGTGAATAGTATTCATTGTTTCCTTCCTCAAATCTAAATATTAGCACAATAATTTCTGAAATTAATTTTTACAATGCTAAATTATGATCTAATCCATGAGAAACCAGGGGTTTAATATAGATTTAAAAAGAAAAGAAAAGACACAAATAACAAGAATAAATAACCCTCAATTGTATATTGGACTAGTTCAGCCCTTGAACAGCTTTACCTTTCTTTAGGAATGTACATTTTAGATATATCTTGAGAACTGATAATGGAGCTTGGATTTAATTTAGATAGAAAAAAAAAAGATTTGTATTTCTTTTCCAATAAAAAAAAATTACATAACACCAATACTCATCAAAATCAAATCTTAATAACTTTGTAGTGTTATAAAATTTGAGGAATTTTGAAATCTTTAATAAAGGTTACTTGGACCACAGTTACTATTTATTGATAGTGTGATAAGTGAGTATAAAGAGGAAACCACGTGGATGCTAGGCCTTGTAAATATGGAGATGTAGAAATAGAAAAGGAGATAGTTCAGTGTCTACCTTTTTCTAAAATTACCTTGAACCTTAAATTTTAAATGTTTATTTTCTAGAAAATTAAGTATACTTATTAAAACCAACAAAAAAGCACATTTTTGAAAGGATGTTAGATACTCTCTCAGTCTAGTGGAAAAACATTAGTAAAAATCTGTTAGAGGATAAGAATCTGGAGGAATTTATGTAGAAGCAATCAGATTATTCTAACTTATGAGAACCAAATAAACCTATAACATCTTATAGTGTTTCTAGGATTCAGAAAGAATATTTATTGAACTTTATTATGAGGCAACACATATTTTCCTGTATTTCTATAGTTTGGAAAACTATCCTTAATAGTCCTTTTTATATGCTTTATATTTAAAAGTTTGTTTTAGTCATTTTTGAAAAGACTGTTGCTGCTGCAAGTAGTTACGTGATTTACACTCTAAGCCTCAGTAAATTTGTTTGTTCAAGAGCATCTTAATCTAACCTGAGCATCCACTTGGAGAATGCTTTTTGTGGTCTGGGGTGACAAAAGACTACAAAAAAAATGTGGTCTTGATTTCTTAAGCTATGTCCTTAACATTCTCCGTGATCCAGGACCAGATATAAGATAAATCTATATGTAAAAAGTAAAGTCTTATTTATGGAAGAAATTATTCTAAGGGAAATATCCAGGGTCAAGCTGTATCTTTTACATCCTTCTATATTGCATGTCTGTTTATGTTATACCATTTGTTATTCCTTCAAATTTCATATGCTAGCATGATAAGCCATCAGAGAACCTGTTTGGGGTATAAAACTTTCATATAAAATATTTGGTTAGTCTCTTAATAATAACCCAGAATATGTGTATATTGCTAAAGTAATCAAACGTACTACAGAATTCTCTATTGGCTCAAACAAGTTGATTTTTAGGCCAAGTTTATTCTTTATATCACTCTGTTGGTTAAAGGAGGAAACTCAAACCTCAGTGTTTGTTTTTCCCAGAACAGATAGTAGTGGCAGTGCATTATATTTTATTAAAGCAAAACAATAAATCCTTAGAAATTTTAAAAAACATATTTGAGGCATATTTTTCCATAATTATATACTTAACTATTTATTGCCCTTGCAACATATATGTGTAGAAGGTATTCTTCTGTTAATTGTTAACTGTCTTAATTTGTTCCAAAGATAACACTGCCATTCTGCAGTCCCATTAGAAGAAAAAAAAATTCACTCACAACCAGCAGTGCTGCTATCAGATAAGTAAATGTCAACGTATATTTATAAGAAATAACTAAGAAATGTAATGTGTCTGTTAATTCAACCTTTTTCTATGTAATATTTCCCAGTCAGGCTTTCTTACATTCCTGGAATTCAGTTTGATATACCAAGAGTAATAATGATAAAATGTTTACTTTGAATACTGTGGGGGAAAATTAAATGTTCAATTCTATTTAAAAAAAAAAAAAACTTCTGAGAGATACTGGTTTCCCATCCTTGAAAGTTATAAAGAATTTAGAGCTATTATGTCTTTATTTTGCTCAAGTCAACAAATTACATATTCAGACATTTCATTGTTGGTTTAGGTACACTGGAATTTGATAGTGGTATATTAAAGTCTTTCCTTCACAGTATTTTATAATGCTTGAAAACTGTTACATGTGCACTGCTAGTAGAAATTAGAACTTAAACATTTTTGTTTTTAAGATTTATAGGCTAGATTAGAGACACATTTGCATCAACCAGTCACCTCTTCTGCAACCAGAGCTAGCAAAAGAAGCAGATGAATGAATGGATATGGTCATTGAACTGTCTCATACTTCAAAGACTTTTCCTTAAGGTTAGTGACTAGTCTTTGTTAACAGTATGAAAATTTTCTTCATGTTAATCCCATTGAATCAACAACGCTGTGATTTATAATATGTTATCAACACTAAAAAATACATCGTGTGTGTGTGTGTGTGTGTGTGTGTTTCTGAAGCAAGGATCCATGACTTCTAATAGATTCTCAAAGGAGTCTCAGATTTAAGAATCAGCATCACCAAGCTGTTTAAGGCAGCTAAAATTGGAATTGGCTGCTTCCTATAATATGCTGTTTCAATGTGTATAGTTAAAGTAACTTATTTCATGTTTCAAGATGTCAAGTTAGTAGTTGAATGAGACATAGATTTAAGGTTAAGATTAGTCTTTGGAATATATGTATATATTTTTTGTCTAAAATTTCTAGTATTTGACTACTTATGTTTTGAATTCTTCCTCATACTTCTTGATCTTAGCTTAATTAAGCAAGTTACTATCAGAGATTAGTTGACTGAACCCAACATTAACCATTTTGTACTTTCACAAACCTTAACATTTTGCTTTTAATGAATCACCAACTCAGTTCACAAAGAGACAGAAGATCTTGAGAGGAAAGAGGACTAGAAGTAAAATATATATTTAAGGAAAGAACTATCATTATTAATGTTGGCATATAAAGCAGTTATTTGTAAAATTCTGCTGAAGAAAAATCAAGGCAAGAATTTCTAGAACTGTCCTAAAACAATCTCATTTATTTAAATTTTTCTTTAAAAAAAGCAAAAAGCAAATTGATTGTATTTCACTTAACTTTCCTATTTCAATGGAGTTATTGTAAAACATGATGGAAAGCTTATGGCTTTTACCTATCACAGAATATTTAGGCATACAACTTAAACTATAATAATAAATTTACTAATGTTTGATAAAATAAGATGGAGGCATTAAAGATGGCATATAGTTTGTATTTTAAGGTATGGGAAATGTGAAATTCTGAATCATTTTGTCTAAAAACCTGGCTTTTATCTTGCCTTCGGCAAATTTACCATGCCTCAATTTACTCTAAATATCTAAAGGATGCTCATTTTTAGTGCTTTGCACCTTGGAATAAAGGGCATAGTATAAGCACAGGGTATTATTGAAATAATCATAAATATTACACACATCTTTTGTTCTTGAATGTGTAGATTTTTTCCCCCAACGACAATATTTCTAAAGCCAGTTTTTTGTTTTTTTTAATGCTGTCAAAGTTTGTAGAATTATCTTGTCTTTGAGCATGGCATCATCTCTTCCCCCAATTTTTTTTTTTTTTTTTTTTTTGCTATGCCGCATAGCATGTGGGATCTTAGTTCCCTCTCCAGGGATCAAACCCGTGCCCCCTGCCAGGGAATTCCCTCTTCCCCAAATGTAGTATTTTACAGTTGCTTTTGTGTTCTGTGGGCTATAGGATCAAAACCAAGAGTATTTTGGGAGTATAAAAGCATTAAAAATCTATTTTTTCTGATATCTTTCATATTTCTAAATATTTAGATTCTCTTTGCCTCTTCATGGAACAAAGTACAATGGGATCAGGTTACTAATACATATATGTAAACATTTTTGCATGGATGGAATTCATTTAGATCTCTTAAGTACTGTCCTTTTTAGGGCTATTTAAATTATTTCTGTTTTTTTAAGTGTAAAATGTTATTTGATAATATACAATTAAATTTCTTTTAGAAAGTGACCGAAAATAGTAAAATAATGGGCTTCCCTGGTGGCACAGTGGTTGAGAGTCCGCCTGCCGATGCAGGGGACACGGGTTCGTGCCCCGGTCCGGGAAGATCCCACATGCCGCGGAGCAGCTGGGCCCGTAAGCCATGGCTGCTGAGCCTGCGCGTCCGGAGCCTGTGCTCCACAACGGGAGAGGCCACAACAGTGAGAGGCCCGCGTACTGCAAAAAAAAAAGTAAAATAACTAACCAGAACCAGAGTTCTTAGGTCCTCTAGTAATTGAGTGTCCTTTTTGACTGATGTCCAAAACTTCTAAAGCTCTTGGGAAAACATAAAAAAATTGTGGTTACTCTTCTCTAGTGACACTTTAAAACTAAAATTATAATTGAAGGCTTCTTGAACAAAATACACTGCAATATAGAGATAATGCAGTCTAAGGAACTAATTGCAGGACCCTGATAAGTTTAACTGATTTTGAAGATCTGTCTAAATTTTAACTCATGCATGTCTTACTTAATCCCATTGTTTCTGCCATTAGAAATTAGAGTTTAATAAATTGCGATACACATATATAGTTTTACATGAAGGATTCTAGTTTCTAATTTCACTTTTCTGATCTCAAAAAAATTCAACTCAAAAAACAGGGTAAAAGTCCTCAGATATTGCCTCAAGTTTAGCTTTATCCTGTTGAGCTGAAAAAGGATGAGATTTAGATTTGTCTGCTTATAATAGATATTTTTTAGGGCATGGTACTATCCCAGATAAGGTGTTGAAATACCATGGCAGAAACATATAAAATCTAAGCTTTAAACCACAGTAGATTTAAAGAACAAAAAGTTGTAGTATTATTCTATAATGTCTCTACTTCATCTGATATTAATTCTAAGAATTCCTTCAAATCACTTAATAATTTGTCACCATTAACTTTACAAACCTTATATCTATCCTCACTGTAATATCCTATCTTGAGAGGCAGGGGTGCCTTCTAGATTAGAGGGTGGACAAAGCAAAATTCTTCTGAAGGTGATCCTGGCTTATTTGGCTCTAGTAGTCCCAACTTTAATAGGAATTCAGTAAACTGAAATACCCATTTAAGTTCCCAAGTCAGTGACCTGTCCAAATGAGCATTATAACTGAAATACCCTGAAGAGCAGTTCTAACTAATGAAATGTGTTTTAAGACTAAGACTGGCATTTAATCTGTCCTGTATGTCTCTCAATTTTGTCAGTTTTTGTTGTTTTTTTACATCGTGGTTGTATGAAATAACCATTTTTTTCCAGGGTATATAGGATATCCTAAAGCTTTACAGATTTTTAAAGATGAGGATTTGAAAAGCTTTCAGTAGTTTTTGTTAAAATGCTATCTTCTCAGTAAAATAACAACTGTTGTTTTCACACATCCACATATCACAAGTAGGACAATATGATCGGAGATTGATGTATGATTGCTACCCAACAATCAGCAAAAGGGATAATCTTCACTTGTGAAACTTCAGAGGTACCCTGAAAGTCATTTCCTAAAGTTAGTGCATGTGAGTCTTTTTTCCTTGAATTGTGCAGAATAATTGGCTTGTGGCACATATTTGGAGGAGTAGCAAGTGAAATGGTATAATGACTGCAGAGAAAGTGATCTTGAAATACAACAAGAAAAAACAAATTTTCTTCTTCCACTTTATTGCCCATCTGTTTGGGTCAGGAGGTTGCTATGATAGATCTCTATGCCAGGCCAAGAATGGCCAATTGAAATAGAGTTCTCAAAGAGTTTAAATACATAGATTGTGTATGAGTGCCTATTTTTTTTTTCTCCTCCTTTTCTTTACTATCTTAATGCCCTTTCTACTTCTGAAATAATTCATCTGTTTTGCTTTATGACCAGCTTTAATTCTAGTTGTAGAATGATAGCAACCCTAGAGGTTGATAGAAAAGAGCATTGAAATACATTTTTTGAATAAAGACACTTAAAAGCATCTACCCAGCTTAGGGTTGAACTGAATTTCTATGAAAGAAAGTTATTGTTTTATATGCTAATTATGCTAAAACCATTTGATTTTAAAAAGTAAGTCTTAAGTTTCAGAAGTTTCACTTTTGGAGGATACTCCTAAAAAAGGCATATTGAACACAGATGGGAAAATATAAAATATTTCTGAAAGAATTATTCAGTATTATTCAACGTTTAATTTCATGTTTGTTATTGTACCACAAGGATAGCGTCATTCTTGGATTAAAATGTTGGATTTTTGTTAATATACTTAAATCTGTAACCAGTGGTAACACCCTTAGTATTTTTTATTATAGATTATATTTTATTTCAATAAACTTTGATATTTAGACCAAAAAGTCTTTCTGCTATATATATTAATCTCATTAAGCTACTTCTTACAAATGTTAAGAGTGGGGAAATGGGGAATTGACATTAATTCACATTTACTTAGGATTAACTCTTATCATACTTGGACCAACTCTTGATAAAGACAGTGCTTTTCCCTCAAGAGACAGTGAACAAAGAAACAATTAACTCTAAATTATATAATAGTTAACTACCTGATCCCAGTGGTAGATTTGTTATATCTGATACTTATTTAGGCTGCACCAGGTCTTAGTTGCAGCATGCGGACTTCTTAGTTGCGGCGTGCATGTAGGATCTAGTTCCACGACCAGGGATCGAACCTGGACCCCCTGCACTGGGAGTGCAGAGTCCTACCCACTGGACCACCAGGGAAGTCCCTGTGAAAGCTTTCTTAGACTCCCCAGCCTTCTAGGCAGAATTAATCATTCCACACAGTGTTTTGACGACTTCTCCTCATTTATAGCACTTAAGCTAGACTATGAGCCTTTTAAGAACAGGGATCATGTTTTATTCATCTTGATTTTCTTGGCAATATTACATGATCATTGGCACTTTAAATGAACCTAATATCTACTTAGAGGAATTTTTTAAAATACCTATATTGTGTGGTAAGTTATATTGCTTGCCTGTCCTTTAAATAAGTAAGTTGAGTTATTTAATCAGTTTTCCCCTTTAGCATAAAAGTTATATAGGTAGAAGGAACCAAAATCCTTAATCTGTTTCCCCCTACCCCCTGACTCCCCTGATTTTCCGTGGGTATCATCCTGTATCCTCCTAGGCTGCTTGGGGAACAGCAGCCTCAACAGAACTAAAGTAAGCAGCCTTGTTCTTTCCCCATCTCATACCCTTTTTACAGGGTCTCTTTCCTCACTTTATATTATCCTATGAAGTACATACCTATTAATTTGTTGGAGCTGAGATTTGAAGCCAAGCAATCTGACTCCAGAGACTGTGCTCACAAATATATCTGGAAGAGGACAGATAA